CATCTTCTTGGCTTTGAGACCCAAATACCAAAATACCTGTGAGCAGCAGGCCATGCCCATTCAGTAACAGAGCAGAGCCACAACCCTCCATGGATGCCAAAGCAAACACCGGATCAGGCCAGCAATGAGGGACAAAGACCATGGCCTGCAAGGGTCTTGCCACCTGAGCTCACAAGGGGATTTTTGTTATGCTTCTTTTATTATTATTATTATTATTATGGTGTGGTTTGAGGTCCTTAGTGCACAAGAAACACTCTAGGAACCATAAAGTCAAGATTGAGGCTGCAATCCCTGCTCTGCCCTTGCTGTGTGACCTCGGGCTGCTATCGCCACCTCTCAGATCCTCAGCTTCCTTCCCCTTCTGTAAAATGGAAAGACTAATAATATCCACCTGGAAAGGGATCCAGGGAAGTCAGTGAGCTCCTTCATGTAAGGAGCTGATGTCTGCACGTGGCCCCGGGTCAGAGATTTGTAATGGGGATTGAAATTACTGATAAGTGACCAGGCATGTTGGCTCACACCCTTAATCCCAGCACTTTGGGAGGCCAAGGCAGGTGGACCACCTGAGGTCAGGAGTTTAATATTAGCCTGGCCAACGTGGTGAAACCCCATATTACTAAAAAGACAAAAATTAGTCAGGCATGGGGGTGTGTCCCAGCTACTTTGGAGGCTGAGGCAGGGGAATCACTGGAACTCGAGAGATGAAGGTTCCAGTGAACTTAGATCATGCCACTGCACTCCAGCCTGAGCAACAAGAGTGAAACTTTGTCTCAAAAGAGCAAGCAAGCAAGCAAGCAATTACTGATAACCTTACAGATTGTCAGAGTTACACAAGGGACTCAGGGAGGGGACCACACCCATCTTCTCACACACAGAGAGGGGAGCAGCCTACCTACCCAAGACTACACAGTGACTGTCAGCAGCTGCATCACCCCAGCCTCTCCATTATGGCCCAGGGCTTCTGACCTGCCCTGGAGGGGCTCTTGGGCCTCCCCCTACCACCTCCTCTCTGTTCCTCACTTTAGCTCTTCTCTGTG